AAAAAAAAAAAATTACAAAACACTGTTAAAGAAAATCAGAATAAAACACAACCACATGGAAAAACATTCCATGCTCATGAAGATAAAGAATTAATATTCTTTAAATGGCCATAATGCCCAAAGCAATTTACAGATTAAATGCTATTGCTATCAGACTACCAAAACATTCTCCACAGAACTAGGGAAAAGCGATTTTAAAATTCATATAGAACCAAAAAAGAGCCTGAATAGCAAAAGTAATCCTAAACAAGAACAAATCTGGAAGCATCACAGTACCCACTTCAAACTATACTACAAACTATAGTACAATAACCAAAACCCCATTGTACTGGTATAAAAACAAGTATGTAGACCAATGGAACAGATTAGAGAGCCCAGAAATAAGGCCACACATCTCCGACCATCTGATCTTTGACAAAGCTGACAAAAACAAGAAATGGAGAAAAGACTCCCTATTTAATAAGTAGTACAGGAAAAACTGGCTAGCCATATGTGAACGATTGAAACTGGACCCCTTCCTTGCAAGACATACAAAAATCAACTCAAGATGGATTAAAGACTTAAATGGAAAACCCAAATGTATGAAAACCCTGGAAGACAATCTAGGCAATATCATTCTGGACATAGGAATAGGCAAGAATGTCACGGCTGACACCAAAAGCAATCAAAACAAAAGCAAAAATTGACAAGCAGTATCGAATTAAGAGTTTCTGCACAACAAACGAAATATCAACAGAGTACTCAGATAATCTGCAGAATGAAAGAACACTTTTGCAAACTACACATCTGACAAAGGTCTAATATCCAGCACTTATAAGGAACTTAAATAAATGAACAAGAAAACAAACCCAAGCTACCCCATTAAAAAGTGAGCAAAGGACATGAACAGACACTTTTCAAAAGAAGACATACATGTGGCCAACAAGCATGTGAAAAAAAGCTCAACATTACTGATCATTAGAGAAATGCAAATCAAAACCACAATGAGGTACCATCTCACACCAGTCAGGATGGCTATTACTAAAAAGTCAGAAAAATAACAAATGCTGCTGAGGTTGCAGAGAAAAGGGAATGTTTATCTATTGTTGGTAGGAGTGTAAATTAGTTCAGTCATTGTGGAAAGTGGTATGGCAATTTCTCAAAGAGCTAAAAGCAGAACTACCATTCAACCCAGCAATCTCATTACTTGGTATATACCCAGAGGCATATAAATCATTCTACCATAAAGACACATGCACAGGAATGTACAATGCAGCTCTATTTACAATAGCAAAGACATGGAATTAACCTAAATGCCCATTAGTGACAGATTTGATTAAAAAAAAATATGAAACATATACACCATGGAATACTCTGCAACTAAAAAACGAATAAGGTTTTGTCTTTTGTGGGAACATGGATGGAGCTGGAAGCTGTTATCCTTAGCAAACTAATGTAGGAACAGAAAACCAAAAACTGCATGTTCTCTCTTATAAGTGGAAGCTAAGTGATAAAAAATTATGAATACAAAAAAGGAAACAGCTGACACTGTGGTCAATTTTAAGGTGAACAGTGGGAGTAGGGAGAGGTGCAGTAAAAATCACTGTTGGGTACTGGGCTTATCACCTGGGTGATAAAATAATCTGCACAACAAAATGCTAGTTTGCCTATGTAACAAGCTTTCTCATATATCCCTGAACCTAAAATAAAAGCTGAAAAAAAAAAAGAGAAAGAATGCACCTCAACATAATAAAGGCCACATATGACAAGCTCACAGGTAACATCATACTCAATGTTGAAAAGCTGAAAGCATTCCCTGTATGATCAGGAACAAGACAAGAATGCTAACTCTTGTCACTTCTAACATGGTGCTTGAAGTTCTAGCCAGGGCAATTAGGCAAGAAATAGAGATAAAAGATATCCAAATTGGAAAGAAAGACATAAAATAACCTCTGTTTACAGATGGCATGATGTTATACATAGAAGACCAAAGTGGGCGGGTCATAAGGTCAGGAGTTTAAGACCATCCTGGTCAACATGGTGAAACCCCATCTCTACTAAAAATACAAAAGAATTAACTGGGTGTGGTGACACGTGTCTGCAGTCCCAGCTACTTGGGAGGCTGAGGCAAGAGAATCACTTGAACCCAGGAGGCAGAGGTTGCAGTGAGCCGAGATCGTGACACTGCACTCCAGCCTGGCGACAGAGCGAGGCTGTCTCAAAAAAAAAAAAAAAAGAAAAAGAAAAAGAAAAAAGAGAACCAAAGACTCCACATGAAAAAAAAATTACAGAAATCAGTTGTCTTTCTACCTCTGACAGTTCACTACACAAAAAGAAATTAAAGAATCCCATTTACAATAGCTACCCCAAAAAGACTCAGGAATAAATTTAAACAAGGAAGTAAAAGATCTATACACTGAAAACTATAAAACGTCGATAAAAGAAATTGAAGATGACACAAATAAATACAAATATATATATATTTTATATATATAATATTTTATATATATATATATATATATATAATGTTTATGGATTAAAGTAATATTGTTAAAATGTCTTTACTACCCAAAGCAATCTATATAGTCAATGAAATTCTATCAAAATTCTAATGCCATTTTTCACAAGAGTAAAAAAGAATCTAAAATCTATATGAAACCACAAAAGACCCTAAGTAGCCAAGGCAATCTTCAACAAAAGGAACAAAGCTGGGGCCCTCGAACTACTTGATTTCAAAATACAATAATCGAATCAAAGCTATAGCAATCAAAACATACTATTATAATTAAAACAAAGTTATAGTAATAAAAAATCACGGTACTAGCATAAAAATGGACATACGGACCAATGAACAGAATAATAAATCCAGAAATAAGGCTACACATTTATGGCCCGTTGGACAAACCAAGAGGAAAGGATAGTTTCTTCAATAATGGTGTTGGGAAAACTGGATATCCACCTGCAGAAGAATGAAATGGGGTCCTTATCTCAAATCGCATAAAAAATTAACTCAAAATGGATTAAATAAATTATATGTTAGGCCTAAAATTGTAAACTACTAGAAGAAAACACAGGAAAAATCTTGATCTGGATGGTGATTTTTTTTGTATTTGACACCAAAAGCACAGGCCACAAACACAAAAATAGGCAAACAGGGTTACCTCAAACCAAACATATTGTGTATAGCAAAAGATACAATCAATAAAGTAAAGAGACATCCTATGGAATAGAAGAATATATTTGTAAATTATACATCTGATGAGGGGTTAATATTCAAAATACAGAAGGAACTTAAACAACTCAACAACAATTAAACACATAACCCAGTTAAAAAATAGGCAAAGGACCTGAACAGACATTTCTCAAAATAAGACACACAAATATCTTTATGACACGTATATGAAAAAATGTCCAACAAGACTAATCATGAATGAAAGGCAAATCAAAACCACATGAGACATTATCTCATACCTGTAAGTAGAATTATTATAAAAAAGACAAAAGATATCAAGTTTTGGCAAGAATGTGGGAAAAAAGTAACCCTGGCAGGAATGTAAATTGGTACAGCCATTATAGAAAACAGGATGGAAGTTCCCCCAAAAATTAAAAATAAGAACTACCATATAATCTACCAATCCCACTTCTGGATATGTATCTGTTATAGTCTGATTGTTTATGTTCCCACAAAATTGATACGTTGAAATCTTCATGCTCAATGTGATGATAACAGGAGGTGGGGCTCTTGAAAGGTGACAAGGTCATGGGGGTAGTGACCTCATAAATGTGATTAGTGCACTTATAAAAGAGGCTCAATAAGAAATTTAAAAACAAAAACAAAAATAAAAGAGGTTCAAGAGAAAATCCTTGTCCCATTCACCATGTGAGGTTAGAGTGAAAAGGTAAATGTCTACGAGGAAGTGGGCCGTCACTAGACACTGAATCTGCCAGTGCTTTGGACTTCTCAGCCTCCAGAACCATAGGAAATAAATTTCTGTTGCTTATAAGCCATGCAGCTTATAGTATTTTGTAATAGCAGCCCAAACTAAGAGCAAAAATTAGTACCAAGAACTGAGGGTGCTGCTGTAACAAACACCTAAAATGTGTAAGCAGCTTTGGACCTGGGTAATAAGTAAAGGCTGGAAGTAAGAGGTTTGTGCTAGAGAAAGCCTGCATTGCTCTGAATGGACCATTAAGGATGATTCTACTGAGGTTCAGAAAGCCTCAATTTTCTTAGCAAATACCTAAGTAGACACACCAATAACTTAGGTTATTGGTAGTAAAGACCATTCTGATGAGGTCTCAGAGAGAAATGAAGAATGTGCTGTTGGACAATGGAGGAACGGAAATCCTTATTATAAAGTGGCAAAGAAATTGCCTATGTTGTGTTATTGTTCAAGTGCTTTGTGAAAGGTAGAATTTGTGAGTGACGAAATTGGATATCTGGCTGAGAAAATTTATAAGCAAAATGTTGAAGATACAGTGTGGCTTCTGTTCACTGCCTATAGTAAAATGTGAAAAGAGATAAATACAAATGGATTTGTTAGTCAAAGGGAAGTAGAACTTAAACATTTGGAAAATTCTTAGTCTTTCCATAATGGAAAAAAATAAGAAAGCTTTTTCAGAAAAGAAACAATGTGGCCTATTGATCATTTGATAAAGGAAATTAGTATGGATCAGCCATCTCAATGGAAGCCATGTACTATTGATGAAGGCAGTGAGCCATCTAAACAGAAGCAAGGACCTACTGTCTAAGCGAGGACAATGGGAGAATGACCCCAAAGGCATTTCAGAAATCCTGGGGCTGACCACCATCACAGAAGGCTAGGACCTTGGGGACCAAAACAATTTCAAAGGAGGGGCCACTGCTGCCCAGCATTACCTCACATTCTGGACTCCGCTCCCCACACTCTGTTGCCATTTTGCTCAGCTCCCCTAGGTGCAGCTCTGGCAGGTTCCGGTGTGGTGTGTGCTGAACCCAGCAAAGCTGTGGGGGCAGGCAAAGTTTTGGAGGCTGGACTACCACCAAAAAGAGTCCAAAAGGCAGGACTTCCATATCAGTGGACCTTGACAGCATCAAGCCAAAAAAGATTATTCTTGAGCCATAGGTTGTTGGACTTGCTTGGTAACTGTCACTCCTTTCTTCATTCCTATATTTCCCTTTCAGAATGAGAATGTCTGTCCTGTGCCTCTCCCACCATACTATGTTCGATGCTCATAATATGCTTGATTTCACTGATTCACAACCGGAAAGCAATTTGCCTCAGAATAAATTGTACTTTAAGTCTCACCCATTACTGATTTAGATGATAATTAGATGAGACTTTGAAGTTACATTTTAAAATTGATGCTGGAACAAGACTTTTGGGGCCACTGGGATGAAAGTAATGTATTTTGCACATGATAAGGGCATAGATTTTGGGGAGCCAGGAATAGGATGCTATGGTCTAAATGATTATGTCCCTCCAAAATTTATATATTGAAATCCTCACCCCCAATGTGATGGCATAAGGAGAAAGGCCCTAGGGAGGTGATTAGGTCATGGGGGCAGAGGTCCCATGAATGAAATTCATGCCATCATTAAAGAGGCCCAACAGAGACCCCTGAGTCTATATTCCACTAAACACACATTCTACTGAATATGCATGTGTGTGTGTGTGTGTGTGTGTGTGTGTGTGTGTGTGTGTATGATAAAGATAGATTTCATTTCCTTTAGGTATTAGTCCATTTGGGCTGCTATAAAAATACCATAAACTAGATGGCTTATAAATATATATTCCACTGAAATATATCTTTATCCATTGCGAGTAATGCTGCAATGAGCATTATTATAGAAATATCTGCACTCCCATGCTCACTACACATTATTCACAATAGCCAAGATAGGAAATAACCCAAGTGTGTCCATGGACAGATGAGTGGATAAAGAAAATATGGTGCATTATTAACATTTTATTAATAATGGAACATTAATCAACCTTGAAAAAGAAATAAATCTTGCCTTTTGCAATAGTATCAATGAACCCAGAGGACATTATGTTAAGTAAACTAAGCTAAGCACAGAAAGACAGGTATTGCGTGATCTCACTTACATGTGGAATTTTATAAAGTAGAACTCACAGAAGCAAAGAATAGAATGTTGGTTGCCAGGGACTGGGCGTTGGGGGAAATGGAGAATTGTTGGTACAAAACTTTAGTTATGCAGGATAAATCAGCTCTGGAGATCTAACATACAGCATGATGACTATACTTAATAATACTGTATCGCATTTTTGAAATTTGCTAAGAGATTAGGCCTCAAATGTTCTCACCACACCAAATAAAATAGTAACCAAGAGGTGCTCGATGTGTTAATTACCTTGAGTTAATTCTTTCACAATGTACATATACATATATTAAAACATCATATTATACACCCTAAACATACTCAATTTTTATTTGTCAATGAAACCTTAATAAAGCTAAGGAGAGGGAGGCATTTTTGCAACTATATTTGGAAAATACGATTCACCACATTAACAAATCATAGTAAATTAAGAAGAAAGAATAAAATTTATATTGCTACCAAAACATATGCCATATTTTGGAAAGCATCTTCAATATCCTACTTAAAACATCTGTAAATATATTTTTCTCAGCTTCTTCCCTTATATTTTTAATTTTTTCATCATATTTCATTTTTAGCAATTTTATTTTTTCCTCCTTTTCTTCCTCTGATTTATGCTCATATTCCTTTTCTACTAGTTCAATTTCCTCATTTAATTGGTCAGTGTAGATGTTCCTCAAAACCTCTTCCCGTTGTTTCAGCCTTTCCTCTGTGTCCTTGTATATGGCGTCAGAAAAGTAAGCCCCTTTGTTGCACTGCACCATTTTCTCTACCAGCTCCACCAGCTCCTTCACCTGAGCTTCCTTCTCTGCCTCACTTGTTAGGCTGCTGTTGCTAAAGGCACAGCAGCGGTTCCCGCACTCCTTTAAAATGCTTTTTAGGTCCACATCCGCATCTGCTATGAAGCCATCCAGACTCTGGCCCTCCAACTCCTCTTTGCGAGTGAACAAGATGACCATGTGCTTCATGGCTAGCTTCCCAAAGACAGCCTTAATCAATGCAATGGTTTTCTGCTCTTCCTCTGTGTAGCGACCCAGCTGCAGAACCAGGACAATAGCATGGGGCCCTGGGCAGGAGGCGAGGACGCAGCGGCTGATTTCCCTGCAAGTGGTGTCCAGGGTCTCCTTGGTGTCAAAGAGCCCTGGAGTGTCAACAACAAGAAGGTCTCTCCCCTGCCAGGTCCGGGATGCTTTTTGACAGGTCTTGGTAACAGCTTGGGCCGCAATTTTAGACTTAAAGATTTGCTTTCCGAGGATGGTGTTCGCTGTCCCACTTTTCCCACTTCCGGTTTTCCCTACCAGAACGATCCTCAGAGAGCGGTCCTCACTCTCAGCCATGCTCACGTCAGGAGGCTCTGTAGCTGAGTCACGTACAAGACCTTAAGGAGAGGAAGAGAGAAGAAAAAAGCCAATTTTGTAAGTGGTACCCTTTCCCAACCTTCTTTTCTGATTTCTCTTTCTTCCTGAAAATTTGTAATATTCTATTATCCATATTGAGCCCAGTAAGGAGAGAAAGATGAAATAGTCCAATTATTATGGAAGAAATAATAGAGAAACCAGTTAAAGAGTTTCCCCTCAAAGTAGTACCAGGTATAGATGGTTTCACAGGGGAATTCTATTAAAACGTTTAAGATCTGATCATCTCAAAGCTACCTAAAACTCTTTCTGACCATATAAAAAGAAGGAAAAAGTTAATTTTTTTCTACGAAGCAAGTATAATATTGATTCCTAAGGCTGACAAATATTTCATCAACAAACTACATATGTGTCTCATTTGTGAATATTAATATAAAAATCCTAAATAATTAGACACTAATAAATAATAGACTATGATTAAGTGTGATTTATTTCAGAAATACTGTGGTGGGTCAATATGAGAATATTGATTGTTACAACACATCCCGTTAATAGGCTAAGAAGAACATTAGCTAGATGCAGGAAAGATATTAGGCCAAATTTAACACTGATTCATGTTTAAAGTAGTTTATAGAATAGAAACTATATATATATATATATATATTTCTTTAACATTATTTTATATAAATTTGAATTTTTAAATTTTGTTATCTTTTTTTTCTGTAGCTAAAATAATTGATTAAAAAGTTTATTTGGATGAAGGAAAATGCAAGTTAGCCCAGACAACCAAGGAAAAGAACAAGGGAAAACTGCTCTACTAGACAATGAAAAATTATAGTCTCCCTAATTAAAGCAGTGTGATATTCGTGAGTGAATAGAGACATGCCACGAAACAGAAAAAGAAAATTCACAAATTGACCATTGCTCATTTTATATTCGTTGATATTCAATTCAATTGCATTAACTTACACTCTGTGAAGCAACACCTCATACCAATGGGAAAGATGATGGACACTGAGATAACTATACCACCATATAATTGGATGCAATTCTAACGATAAAGTTGCATTCAACTCCTCATGTCGTACAAATTCCAAATAGATCAGTAATTTAAATGTAAAAACTATCCAATATAAATAATTTAAAATGGGTAAACTCTTTGTAATCTGGGAGTGGGAAAGATGTTTATAACTACGCTATAAAATAGTATAAGGAAGAGACTGATAAGTTTGATTACATAAAATTCTAAAAACTTATTTAAGGCATACAACACCATAGACAAATTAAAACATAAATATCAAACTAGAAAACATTCTTTCCAATTTATCTCAAAGAAGGCTACTTTTCCTGTTATATGAAGAATATCTAAAAGTAGAGAAGCAAAAGACCAGTGACTTGATAGAAAATTGGGTGAGATATGAGCACACAGTCAAAGAAAAAAAAGAAATGCAAATGTTTCTTGAATACATAAAAAGATATCCAAGTCCATTCACAGTAGAGAAAAATAAATTAAATACATAGAATAACGTAAAAATTACTCAGAGATAACTATTTCTCAACTATAGGTATGGCAAAAGTCCACATGTGCCAGCATAATATGGTGGTAAACGGATGGGGAAAGAGGAAATTTCCTGCATGACGAGTGTGAAGGGGAAAACAATCTAATACCTCTAGAGGAGAAGGTAGCAATACCTTGAAAAATTACACATGCATTTACTCTTTGATTATCTATCCCAATTTTAGGATTTATCCCAGAGCTGCAATGACAAAAATACAGAAGGAAAAATGCATGTGGCTATTCACGCACTACTATTAGTAACAGGAGAAGACCAAAACCCTATCAGATGCCCATCGGGGGGGCCAGTTGAATAAACTAAGGTATATTCATACAGAAAAGTACCACCCAACTGCAAAAAGGAATGAGAAATACTCTATATACCAGTATGAAGAGATCTCTGAGGTATACTGTTAAGTGAAAAAAGCAAAGTGAAGAAAATACTGTACAATTTGCTACCATTTATATAACAAGGAGGAATATTAGTTATATATGTGAATAATTTTTATGTGCAGGTGAAAAGCAATGGCAGGACCATTTGAAAACTAAACAAACAAAAGAGTTATTTATATGAAGATGGGAGGAACAAGGTGCAAGGGACAGGAACAAAAAATGGGCATTAGACTTCTGTGAATATCCTTCGTTTTTGCAAATTTGATCTTGAGACCATGTAAATACTTTACATAATTATACAATAAAAATCATCTTTTAAAACACCAATAAAAATTAGAAGCAAATGAAACAAATAAACCTAATTGATTTTGTGTCAAGGATGAACCAAAAAGAATTGTCCCAAGAGGCTTGAAAATGTAGTATTAATAATTTCACTCTGTGTGTGTGTGTGTGTGTTTGTGTGTGTGTGTGTGTGTAGTTTTGAAGTCTATCTAAAAGGTATAAATCATGGTGAGCCCAGTAGCAACGTGTGCACTTAATACCTAGATTGTGATCTTCAAATGGCATTTTCCACAAAAGAAATTTGGACTCTAAGAAAAAGTACTGATTCCAGGTGTGGGCCAGTAAACATACAAGTTTAGCCTACAACATCTTTCATATTAGAAAGCAGGGATGCTATTAAAAATTATTTAGTTTTATCAGAAGGAATTGGAAACCACCTTAAAGGGGTTCCAACCAGACAAAGATGGAACAATTTGAGCATCATTAACAAAGATTGTTCCAGTGGAGTAAAATATGTCAAAATCCAGTAGTTTATAATAACACCATCTTCCTGAAAGAAGTTAATTGCTCCCTTTGGAGTGTGACTCATCATTCCAAACATTAACAACTAAAGAGAAAGAAGCATTTATTTTGTTTTTCTTTCCCCCCCCATTTATTTATTTTATTGCATTTTAGGTTTTGGGGTACATGTGAAGAACATGCAAAATTGTTGCATAGGTACACACGTGGCAGTGTGATTTGCTGCCTTCCTCCCCACCACCTACATCTGGCATCTCTCCATATATCTCATCTTTTAACTATATCTCACAAAAATGAAAGAATCACTGAATGAAAGTTCCTTTGTATAGGACTACTCCATCTAATAAATGAAGAAACAGTGATAGAATATCACCTTTTTGTAACTCTTAATGAAACGAATTCATTCTAGACAATCATTAACATCTGCTAACATGACAAAAAGACAGATACCCAAACATTATGTGCCTTCTAATGGAAGTTTAGTATAGTATTTATTACAAACTACTGGATTTTGACATATTACCACTTAAAAAGACAAAGTCAAATTTTAATCTGATCCAACCTCCCCATTAATATAAATTCACACAAAACACTGGAAGCGCATGTTAAATGACATTGTTAGGATGCAATCAGCAGAATGAATACTGTTGGACAAAAGACCTTCCCTTCTTTAAACAAAGACATTTAACACAAGAAACAAGGAAAGTGAAAACCTGCACATTAAGTGAAATGTAAAGAGGTATCAAATAATTGTAACATATGGATTTTATTTAGATCCTACCTCAAATGATTTTAAACATTTTGAGATCTTCAGGGAAATCTGAATACAGCTGGTAGTATTAAAAATTATAGTTGCTGTTTGTGAAACTGTGGATATGTTTTTAAATGGTCTTTATCTATTAGAGACGCATATTCAAATATTTACTGATAAAATGATGTAAATGTCTGACATTTGCTTCAAAATAATCTGTGAGAGAGTTGCAAACAGGAGCAAATAGTTGAACAAAACTGGTATAAATTGATAACTGTGGAATTTTAGTATAGATACATGTAAGTTCTTTATATTATTTTTACTATTGAATTAGTATAAATTTTCCACAAATAAAAAAATTAACCCTTGTATAGTGTAAGCATTATCAAGTATACACGGCATATCAGAACACCCTGATAAGCATGTTTTGTATATCTTGTTTACTCTTCAAAATACTGTACAGAGATGATCCACACTTCCTGCAGATAGGTGAGCTGGGAGTCAGCCTGTGATAAGGGAACCATGAGGAGGGCTTCACACTTCTCGTGGACTTTTCCCTCTCTCCCATCTTGAGAAGCTAAACGCGGGAGAGATGGTCAGAAAAATCACTTTAAAACTTTCTGATAGAGGCAGCAAACCACCTTGCCACGTATGTACCTATGCAACAATCCTGCATGATCTGCACATGTATCCCAGAACCTAAAGTACAGTTTAAAAAAATAATAAAAATTTCTCCAGTGGTTCTTGGAAGATCTAGAGGACCTCCAGCTAAGAGAAAGGCTGAGAAGTGAAAAAAGCATTTACAACAGAGGTGGACAGTTCTAAACTGTGGTTAGACCCACCAGTTCTAGAAAATTTCGTAAGCTCCTTGAGATTTAGTTCCCTCCGCTATAAAAAGGGAAAGTAAAACCAATCTTGCAGGGTTGTCCTTAGGCTTTCATAGGGAGATTTCTATAAAGGTCTTTTCTAGCAACTCTTTTTGTATCGAAAGGCACAGCAACTCCACATGTTACTCTGTTAGGGACACAGCTTGACCCTGTTTCATGCTGGAAAAAGTCAGCAGACTGAATTCTAGTGATCCTTTGCCGTGAGTGAGCTGGGTGCCCCTTGGAGAATCAACAAAATCTCTGGAATTGAGATTCTGATTCCTTTTCAGTAAGAAGAGGGACTTCTCCTGTGGAGCCTCCAGAACGTACCCTGCTAATTAGCTTGATTTTATTCCTGTAACACTCATTTTAGACTTCTGACTTCCAGAACTGCAAAAGGAAAATTTTATGTTGTTTTAGGCCACTACATTTTTTGTCATTTGTCATGGTAGCAATAGAAAGTTGATACTCCAAGGTTACGTAGTTAATCTGTGTAAGAGCTAGGACAGTACTATGCCTTTCATCTCCTGTTATTATTTCTGCGATATCTTCATACGTTAACTTTGGCATTTATCTAGCATCATGGCAGTGGAAAAAAAGCCCTGAGTTTTGTGTGCACACATACATACACATACACACAAAATCAAAAACATAATATTCCTTTTTTATAGGAATGGACAGGTGGTCTCTAAATTGCCTTCAAAGCCCTTAATTTCCTATGAAGATTATCAGGCAACACTCTGTGTCTGTGACAATAGCCAGTGAGTGGAGGTGTACTATACAGCCATGCATGTCCTGTTACACATGAGATGCATGGACACTGCAAACCAATCTCCTCACTCCCCTTCCCACCCATCCCTCTCACGGCACTTTCCATGCAGTGCTGCTGGCACAGTGCCCTGTTCCTCCTCAGGGCAGAATCCACTCCACTAGTCATCCTGTCCTCACTGCCCTATGCAGCCCAATAGCACCAGACCCTCTTCTCAGCCAGGCTCACCTTCTCTTGAGTAAGTTGAGTTCTCTGATTTTCTCCAAGGAGCCTGCTTGAGCCGTTGCTTTTGCTTTTATTGCAAGGCAAATGTATCTGCACCCCCACCAAAACCTCTGAGTCAGGAAACTCAGACTGGGCGGAGCCACAAAAAAAAATACCGTTTGTCTTTAAAGAAACAGAAATAGGCATGGGCAAAAACTTCATAACTAAAACACCAAAGCAATGGCAACAAAAGCCAAAAAAGACAAATGGGATCTAACTAAACTTAAAAGCTTCTGCACAGCAAAAGAAACTATCATTAGAGTGAATCAGCAACCAACAGGATGAGAAAAAGTTTTGCAATTTACCTGCCTGACAAAGAGCTAATATCCAGAATACGCAGAGAACTTAAACAAATTTACAAGAAAAAAAAAAAAACCATCAAAAAGTGGGTGAAGGATATGAACTGACACTTCTCAAAAGAAGACATTTATGCAGCCAACAAACATGAAAAAAAGCTCATCATCACTGATCATTAGAGAAATGCAAATCAAAACTACATTGAGATACCATCTCAGGCCGGTTAGAATGGCAATCATTAAAAAATCAGGAGACAACAGATGCTGGAGAGGATGTGGAGAAATAGGACTGCTTTTACACTGTTGGTGGGAGTGTAAATTAGTTCAGCCATTGTGGGAGACAGTGTGGTGATTCCTCAAGGATCTAGAAATAGAAATGCCATTTGACCCAGCAATCCCATTGCTGGATATATACCCAAAGGATTGTAAATCATTCTATTATAAAGACACATGCACACATATGTTTATTGTGGCACTGTTCACAAAAGCAAAGACTTGGAACCAACCCAAATGCCCATCAATGATAGACTAGATAAAGCAAATGTGGCATATATACACAATGGGATGCTATGCAGCCATAAAAAAGGATGAGTTCATGTCTTTTGCAGGGAGATGGATGAAGCTGGAAGCCATTATTCTCAGCAAACTGACATAAGAACAGAAAACCAAACACCGCATGTTCTAGGGGTGCCAAATCATTTTAGGTCCTATATACTTGAAACTTTCTCCTTGCTGCTTTTTCTTCTGTATTGCTAGGTACAAATACCAGAATAATGCTTGAAAATACAGTTGGTGCCCTAGAGAATCTATTATTTAAAACCATTCTGTTCTAAGAGGCATCAGTTGTAGTCCCTCCAATCACACAGAGTGCTACGACAACTCCAAGGAAACATCAGAATTACTAATCTAGCTAGTTAGTGTCATTTATTCTGGAATTGTCTCCTAAGCTGTGACTAACATTCTTGATCTCTTGATATAACTTTTGAGTCAGTTAATTTTTTCAGTATTTTGCTGTCCTCTTGGGAATTGGCCCTCAGAGGACAGTGCTTCCAAGTACATCTTCTCCCAGATTCTCTGGCCTTTTTAATGAGCTATTATTAAACCAACAGGCTAGTTTATCTTGTATCACACCCTTTTATGGTAGGGTGGAAACATTCTTACTTTCCCTTTTTCTTCTGTTATTACTTATGGTAACATCCAACTGAGCCTCACTCACATTAAATGATTTACTTGAAATATATATATTTAAAAAATACTATGTTTAACAATAAAAAGGCATTGCCTCCAAGGCTCTGGTCTATATCTCTGTTTTGGTACCCATATCATGATGTTTTGATTACTGTAGCCTTGTAGTATAGTTTGAAGTCAGGTGCCATGATGCCTCCAGCTTTGTTCTTTTTGCTTAGGATTGTCTTGGCTATGTGGGCTCTCTTTTGGTTCCATATGAAGCTTAAGGTGTTTTTTTCCAGTTCTGTGAAGAAGGTCACTGATAGCTTGATGGGGATAGCATTGAATCTATAAATTACTTCGGGCAGTATGGCAATTTTCACGATATTGATTTTTCCTAACCATGAGCATGGAATGTTTTTCCACCTGTTTGTGTCCTCTCTTATTTCCTTGAGTAGTGGTTTGTAGTTCTCCTTGAAGAGGTCTTTTACATCCTTTGTTAGTTGTATTCCTAGGTATTTTATTCTCTTTGTAGCAATTGTGAATGGGAGTCGGTTCTTGATTTGGCTCTCTTTAAGTCTGTTATTGGTTTATAGGAAGGCTTGTGATTTCTGCACATTGATTTTGTATCCTGAGACTTTGCTGAAGTTGCTCATCAGTTTAAGGATATTTTAGGCTGAGACGATGGGGTCTTCTAAATACACAATCATGTTGTCTGCAAATAGAGACAATTTGACTTCCTCTTTTCCTGACTGAATACACTTTATTTCTTTTTCTTGCCTGATTACTCTGGCTAGAACTTCCAAAACTATATTGATCTTTGACAAACCTGACAAAAACAAGCAATGGAGAAAGGATTCCCTGTTTAATAAATTGTTTTGGGAAAACTGGCTAGCCACGTGCAGAAGGCAGAAACTGGACCCCTTCCCGACACCTTACACTAAAATTAACTCCAGATGGATTAAAGATTTAAACATAAGAAGTAACACCATAAAAATCCTAGAAGAAAACCTAGGCAAAACCATTCAGGACATAGGCATAGGCAAGGACTTCATCACTAAAACACCAAAAGCATTGGCAACAAAAGCCAAAATAGACAAATGGGATCTAATTAAACTCCAGAGCTTCTGTAAGCAAAAGAAACAATCTTTAGAGTGAACCAGCAACCAACAGAATGAGAAAAACTTTTTGCAATCTACCCATCTGACAAAGGGCTAATACCCAGAATCTACAAAGAACTAAAACAGATTTACAAAACAACAACAAACAAACCCATTCAAAAGTGGGTGAAGGTTATGAACAGACACTCTTCAAAAGAAGACACATATGAGGCCAACAAATATGAAAAATGCTCATCATCAGTGGTCATTAGAGAAATGCAAATCAAAACCACATTGAGATACCATCTCACACCAGTTAGAATGGTTATCATCAAAAAATCTGGAGACAACAGATGCTGGAGAGATTGTGGAGAACTAGGAACACTTTTACACTGTTGGTGGGAGTGTAAATTAGTTCAACCATTGTGGAAGACAGTGTGGTGATTCCTCAAGGACCTAGAAACAGAAATTGCATTTGACTCAGCAATCCCATAACTGGGTATATACCCAAAGGATTATAAATCGTTCTATTATAAAGACACATGCACACGTATGCTCATTGCAGCACTGTTTACAATAGCAAAGACCTGGAAGCAACCCAGATGCCCATCGATGATAGACTGGACAAGGAAAATGTGGCTATACACCATGGAATACTATGAAGCCCATAAAAATGATGAGTTTGTGTCCTTTGTAGGGACATGGATGAATCTGGAAACCATCATTCTCAGCAAACTGACACAAGAACAGAAAATCAAACACCACATGTTCTCACTTATAGGCAGGTGTTGAACAATGAGAACACATGGAAACAAGGAGGGGAACATCACACACTGGGGTCTGTTGGGGGCTAGGGGAGGGACAGCAGGGGTGGGGAGGTTGGGGAGGGATAACATGGGGAGAAATGCCAGAGATAGGTGATGGGGGATGGAGGCAGCAAACCACCTTGTCATGTATGTACCTATGCAACAATCCTGCCTGATCTGCACATGTACCCCAGATCCTAAAGTACAATTAAGCAAAAACAAAAAATAAAAAAGGAGTATTATGTTTTTGATTTTATGTGTATGTGTATGTGTACATGTATGTGTATGTGTGTGTGTGTGCACACAAAACTCAGGGCTTTTTTGCTGCTGCCATGATGCTAGATAAATGCAAAGCTTAACTTATTAAGATATTGCAGAAACATAAAAGGAGATGAAAGGCATAGTACTGTCCTAGCTCTTATACAGATTAACTATGTAACCTTGGAGTATCAACTTCCTATTGCTACCATGACAAATTACCAAAAATGTAGTGGCTTAAAACAACACAAAATTTTCCTCTTGTAGTTCTGGAAACCAGAAGTCCAAAATCAACCTAATTAGAAGGGTACCTTCTGAAGGCTCCATGGGAGAATCTGTTCCTGGCCTCTTCCAGCATCTCAATGCTACCAGAATTCTTTAGCTTGTGGCCACATCACACCAATCTCTGCTGCCATCTTCACATTGCCTTCCTTCTTTGACTTTCTTCTTTCTCTCTTAGAAAGATCTTTGTGTTTACATTTAAACCCACCCAGATAATCCAGGATAATCACCTCATTGTAAACGCTTTAATTTAATCATGTCTGCAAAGACTCTTTTGTTGTATAAAGCAGCAGTCACTGGTTCCTCCCAGTACCAAATCTATATTAAATAGTTTCTGGGACTGCTGTAACAAATTACCACAAACTAAGTAGCTTAAAACAAGAAAAGAAAATCTTGTCTCACAGTTCTTGAGGTCAGAAGTCCAAAGTCAAGGTGTCAGCAGGGCCATGCTCTCTATGAAGACTCTAGGGGAGGATAGTTCCTTGCCTCTTTCTGGCTTCTAGTAGTTTCTGTCAATCCTTGCTGCTCTTTGACTTGCAGATGCATCCCTCCAATCTCTGCCTCCACAGTTATATGGTTTTCTCCCGTGTGCTTACCCAAATTTCACTCATTTTCTAAGGATAATGTCATTTGATTAGAAGAGTCTGCCCCAAAACCTCATCTTAACTTGATTACATCACAAAAACTATTTCCAAATAAGGTCACATTTTCAAGTACTTGGGATTAGATCTTGAACACTTCTTTTAGTGGATACAATTTTAAATTGTGATAGGAAATTGGTGATAAGAAAAAGACAGTATATGCATTTTGAGAGTGAGACACCCCAGATCTCTTCCTTTCCAGTCCCAGTTGCAATCAGTAGGTGAAATCCATGCAGACAGTTCATGCCACGGTACTTGGGAAGTTCTCACTGCATACAGTTTAGCATCCTTATTGCTTAGCCTGGAAATCATCTTTTGTTACAGTGTCTCAATCTTTCCTTCTAGGCCAAACCTTCCTCTATTCTTCTTGAGAGGCAACTTAACACTATGTTTCAGTGGAGTTCTGCTTACATAAAATTCCAGTCACAGTTACTATTAATACCAATTTTACATAGCTGAAGGAGACAGTGGTATAAAGGCAGTTTCTGGAACATCACAGGTACTTAGTAAGTTCTTTTAATGATCCTGTCTTGGTCTGTTTGTACTGC